TCTTCACAAGGGCAACTAAGAGCGTGTCTTTGACACAAAATGAAACCACTCAAATATTCAGTTCTCACTCTAAAACAAAAAGAGGCTTGAATACTTAAAACAGAGGCTTCTTGAAATTTAATATATGTAAGATGTGCTTTGCAGTTTCATTGGGTGATAGGATTTTAAATCATGTTCTTTGGATGTTCTGGAAAAATTTTGGCAGAATTTTTCTGGAAGGCTATAGTCCAAGATAGCTTCAGTCCTGGGAAACATCATAAAGAAGGACAGAAGGGGTTTTGCAGTAAGTCCCAGGCAAAATCAGTAGATGATGCCACCTTTTGTAATATGCAGCACCCATCACCAAAGTATGCGAATACCTTCTGAGAAACAAAAATCTAATCATTCGTAAGCCAATGATCTAATATTCTTATTTTCACCAATAATGGGGGATTATGTTTCTTCTGTTTCTTCCTTCAAAGCTCCTTTTAATTAATTCCTTCTTACTGCACTGCAACTATTTGATTTTCTTCTCTCGTTCCCTTCTTTTCCTCCCCCACTTTCCTCTTCTCCATGTTTTCACCCTTTCTTTCTCCCTTTGTCTTCTGTAATCTCTGCTTTTTCTTGCTTGCAGTTGTGCAAAAACTTGACTCGATGAAATTAGTTCATTCCTTGTTCTGAAAGCTGTGAGATTTGGAGTTGTTTTAATCTCTTTGAATAATGAGTTTCAGGCCTTGGTCTTGGTGCCAAGAAAGTTCCTGCTTAGGAACTTCATCCTTGGAGAGGACAGCTGCACAAATCCACAGAGGACAAGTTATTTTAGGTACCTGTGCTAACTCCCCTCAGGGTATTGCTCTGTTACCAGGACTTTCTTTTTGACCCTGATGGATTATTTGGGGGAGAATTAAGTAGTCGTAGCTTGGTGATGCGAGCTCACCATGAAAATGAGAGAGGAGCAGAGCATCAAGACAGGGCCTTGTACAGTGGGTTTGCCATTCTCAGGCAAACGTGTAATGTATTTTTTATGGAGTGATTTACGTTCGATTCTTCTGTTCTTCCAAGGAACCACCCGAGTAAATTCTTAGCCGTTTATTATCATATTCATACCCATCGTTTATTACCGTGGCATGATTTTTCATAGTGTGTTGAATTACAATAGGATATGCTGTGTGTGGTTATCAGAGCTGTCAGGGTCACTCAGATTATTTTATCTGGCCTACCACGGCTCCCAACAACAGGAAACCATTTGTTATGTTACCTTTGCAACACAAAAGGAAGTTCATGTAAATTTTTCCTCCAAGAAACTATTTGGGGGTAGTCCATAGCGGTTACTGGATTCCACTAATAATTCGACAGAAACGTTTTTCATCTGAATCCTGCGCTTGTGAAAAGCTAGGTTCACTAATTTGGAGCAAAAGAAATGAAAAAAGGCAACAGAATGAAAGTGCATTGATTTCTACACCAAAGTAACTGAGACCAAACGCCGGTCTTTGTCTTCAAAGGTTAATCTCTCTTTAAGAAATAAGCAGGAGGCTCAATGACTGATGCTGATCCCGAGGTTTCTTTGGTTAGAGAATGTACAATATTTTATTTTGAGTTTTTTCTCCATGAATTGTGAGGGGAGAGGAAGAAGAATCTAAACAATAAACTCCCAAGGTTCTTTTTTTATGAATCTCTTCTAGATAACACAAGATAGGAGAAAATGCTTTTCCAGCGTAAAGCAAAATGCCACCCATTTTTCTCAGGCCAGCAATTTGAAAAAATCAGAAGGTAAAATACACACTCCTCACTGTAAATACGTCATGGGATATAATAGAAAATAAAACACTGTCTTTGCTGGTTCTGTTCGGCTGCTCTTTGCCTGTATACTGCCATCTCTGAATTCCTTGGCCTGCACAGGTATTTTGCAAGCACAGGTGAGGATCAGAACCTTCTCTTCTACTTGTAGGACCTCAAAATTTGGCTAGAATTTATTCTGTAGTGTCGTTTTTTCAGTGACACTTAGGCAAAAACCTTTGCTTCTAGCTGACTCCATTTTCTATTAACTGAGGGGGTATTGGAGATCGTGGCAACTTTTGATGCTGATGATGCCAGACAATGTTTAGAGGCACAATTACAGCAGACATTTTGTAAGCGTATCAGCTGAAGAAGGAAACTCATTGGACTTAACTACATATTTACACTGTACCTCTGCCTCATACTGGAAATGTAAAAAGATAGAAAAATACTGTGATAAATTGAATAAATGGAAAGCAATTAACTTTTCCTTCATGTTTGCATTTTCATAGTTATTTCTTTTTCCCTTGTTTCATTTCTAATAGCTCTTTCCTGGCAGTAATATTTCCTCTTTTGCAGTTATCATGAGCATTGTTACCAGAAATTTGGTATTAGAATTTTAATTTTTTCTGTCCCTTTTTTTTTTTTTTAATCTTAACACAGAAAATGTATATTAAAGTCGTTTGATTTAGGAAAGTCCTCTGCCCTTCATGAAAATAATTACTTGAATATATTTCATTTGGTGTGTTGAATAGGCTCGTAACTTAGTCCTCTTACTTTAGGATGAATATTATCCTCCAGAAGTATGTACGGACTCCGATCCTCGCCACTTTTCTGTAAATGAAAGCTCCTCTAAAACCTTATCTTACAGATGAGGAAACCTTGGCAGAGCGGTCCCGTGGGAAATCAGTGAAATCAGTGTCAGGAAAAGCCCAGAACTCTGTGATTCTCTGTTTTGAAGGCCATGCTTATTTTTTTTTTTTTTGCCACATCACTGATATTGTCTAAAATTATTGGATTATAATAAACCTATGTTCACATGTTGCAGATTTAATGTGAAATGTCAAAGTGTACCATAGTAAACAGTGCAATGCAGTGTTAAATCACTGATATTTTTCTGTAGGTGAGGTTTGACATGAAATGGAGCCCCATTTCTGGCTCGATCTTGTGCATTTAAGGACTGCACCATTCATTGATGTGCTGCTGCTCATTTCTTGAGAATGCCTTGGACAGATACAGGGTCAACAGGAGGCTGATGGCATGTGAGTCCTCTTATCAGCCTGTGGCATCCTTCATCACCCTCCCCAAGTCTGTATCATATCAACCAAAGCAGTGCAGAACCTCAAGTTCCTGCTTTTATCACCCAAACAATGTTCCTGGGATAAAGGCACCTTCCAGCTCCTGACTCTGTGTGCGATGGAGGGGCAGATCCTGCCTTGCTGCTCACACAGCTCTCAGCACCAGTTTTTCTTCTGCCCATGCTTTTCTTCTCTTTCATTGTTTCAGAACTTTTAAGTACTACAAAGATTTTCACATGTTTTCTACCTCCTCGTCCTTGTTTCTTTTGTTCTCCGTCCTCCTCACTGTTCCTTGCTTCTCTTCTGACATTGCTGGGTGTCTGTCCTCTCTATCTTCTCTGCCTCTTCAGTTCTTCTCCTTTAATTACCATGCAGTTTTATTTTTGCTTCCTAATTCATATCTGTACTGATATTTTTCTGACCTTTTCTCTACCACTGATAGCACTCTCAAGTGCTGTCTGCAGCTTCTGTTTCCATCATAGTCTGATTCTTCTGTATTCTTTTGTTTTTCCCAGCTACGTACCTTTTCCTTTTTCTTTTCTATTTACTGTGTACTTTTTCTCCCCTGAGTTTGAACATGCCATCATTTTTAAATTCTCAACTTGAGCCTTTCTGTTCTTTGATTTTTCTTCTCTTCTTGTGCTTCTGTCTCTTTGCATTCTTTTGCCTATCTTCTCTGGCCTGCGTGCTGCCAAACTCACTCCTCACTTTTTCACCTTCCCAGAACTAAATAGACCAGCTGCGGTGAGGCTGTCATCCACTTTAAGATCTGGGTCTTAGAAACTTTATTTCCTTAAATTTAATTACTGATTTTGTGCTCCCGGATTTCCTTTCCTACTCCTGCCCCTATACCCTGCTGCAGCCTTTCAGAGGCTGATGTCCCTTGTCCTCCCTTTTCCTCCATGGGTATTCTGGCTTGTCAGTCCTCTGTCTCCAAAAGTGATGCCCAACGTCATAAATAATGAATGCCATTCTAGTGGTTTTATTTTTTTTGTGAGCCATTTTCTGGCAGAAATTGCAGGTAGCCATGAAATTGTGTTTTAGCTCTTGTTGTGTAGACTATAAAAGTGATAAAATGCTAGTTTAACTTGTGAAAAATTTGTACTTGTGTTAGTAATGCCATTTCTGAATGCCACCTGTGTGTCTGTCTGACATTCAGGTGATTTCATGAAATGGGGAGGCAGAAGGAGACATACCCAGGTTGGGGCAGCTGGAGCTGCTGCTCTTTTTCCACTTTTTTTGTACTGATGCTTGCTATAGACTGCTCCTAGGTGAGCTGGACATGGTGCTGCTTGTCCTGCCTGGGCTTTCAGGGTGCTTTGCTTTGCTTAGGATTGTGTAGAAAATGTTGTGAATTGCTTGGATTTAAATCACTGTAAAAAAAAATGAAACATGACCATGTGCACTCACAGTTTTGAATTCTCTACCACTCAAATGCTAAATGTCTTAAGAAGATTAAGATCAAGCTTTTTAATATTGCTTTTAGCTGAGCTTATTTGTAACCCTTTCAGAATATGTCACACCTTGGGAGATGGCACAACAGGACCGCTGTTATCACAGGCATTACATACCCTTGATGCGGTATTTTCTGAAGTATTCAGACTTTCTCCCTGGCTCAGCACTTTCTTGTTACTGATTAACTTGCATAAATCATAGTTTTTAAACTTATTTTTTTACCAAAATAAACTGCCTTCATTTTGCCCCTTTGAGCAAGTTCTGTCTCTCCTGCACAACTCTTCTACTTTGTAATTGCATAGCTATATGTGTCTTTCTCCAAATCCTAAATAACTGGGATTATCACCAAGTGTGAAAAGTTTACATACACTTAAAAAATTAAACTTAAGTCACAGAAGACCATCTGGGCCTCTTACTGAATTTCACTCAAATTTAAGAGATGAATATGCACAGAATAATATAAAGGGCCAGATTCTGATATTTCTTTCTTTCTTTTTTTTCCCATCCCTGGTCAGGGCGTAGGCATCCTGCTGCAGAAGGGAATTACTCCAGGTGAGCTGGTCTATATGTGTTCTCCATCCAAGTCCAGCAAAGGGCAAGGCTCAAGGGCTCAGGCTGAATTCACAAAATCCCTGAAAAGCAGAAAGGGGTTTTGAAAACTTTTGCTATTGACTGTGTAGTGGAGCCTCGTCGTACTTGCATTTTTAATCATTTTAGGCTGAAAAGAGGGATGTCAAGTCATCAATTAATCCTGACAGCATCCTTCTGTGGTGAAAAAATAATACTGTCACACCCATTTTATAAACAGAAAATCTAAAGCAGAGATAATGGAGGCTCGATACTGATGCTGCTGATACTGCAGCCCTCCCGTTCCTCGCCTGTGGACGGTCTGGAAAGTTTTGTTTCAGACTGCAAGGGGAAGTCGCTGTAAGTCAGGAGGAACCGTGGGCTGTGCTCCCACACCCAGACCGCTAAACCTCAGCCAGTTCTTACGAGAGGCTTAAAGTGTCTCTCTTGAAACGTGTTTGGGACACAAAAATTAAAAAAAAACCTCGAGTAATCCTAGGTAAAAAAAATAAATGAATAAACAAATGACGGTGCAGTATCTAAACGTGGAAATTGAGCATCTCCAACAGCCGTGTTCTCAATGCAAATCTAGGTAAAAGGAGGAAGCATATGGTGCCGGTGTCCATTTTGTGGCAGTTTACAGCTGGAGTTTGGTCATTCTGATGTTTTCATGTTCTTACGATGAAATTTAGACACATTCGTACTCTGCCCAGTTCTTATGTTTCCTGTACCAGATGCATATCAGATCCAGTAAAAATACAAGAGGATTTCAAGTACTTAAACAGCAAAACGAGACCCTAGAATCAAATTAGCTAAATTTTCCTCAAAACTTAATATCTTAAAAGAAAATTTTGTATTTTTATTTCAGCCTTTTATGCAATTTTGCAGCTCTTCCTAAGGAAGTGGAGCATATATATAATTAATACCGTTTAATAAAGCTCCAAAATGCAACAGATGCAGCCAAAAGTGCACGTCATTTTGAGCAGATCTTTAGAGAACAGACATTCCATATTGTGTTCATCTTTTTCCACGATCACTGCTATGACAATCTGGTGTGTTTAGCAGTTGTTGCTGAGTAAGGCAGACTGGATCGTATATGATTTTCTCCATGTCAGCCAAGAAGCGCAGCACTCTTTGGTGCGGCAAAGAGTTGGTCTTGTGCTAGTTAGTCCTTTCTACCAGGAGTAGCTACACCTTTAGTAACTGCTGGGTGGAGTAATGATTGCAAGCTGTAGGTACATGTGCTGGAAGTTTGCTGTAGGTCTTAGCAAAGTGACTGGAAATAAAATGGCCATGGTATGGAAAAGCCGCAGGCTCTGACAGCTCAGACGATATGACCTCCCAAATAGAAAAGCTCTGAGATTCACAAAACATGTCCCTAAAACCTCCGGGTATCATATAAAAGTTAAATATTTTCAGAGGGGATATGGAAGGAGGATCACCTACATCAGAAAACCCATACGAAAGGCTCCAGTGCAGAGGAAACGTTTCCCCTTTCAGCATTCCTTCTGGGTGCCAAATTTTCCTTCTGTTCTTCCCCACCTATTAAACAAAGCTGCAACTTCCAATTCCTATCAGTTTTCCTAAATATGTGCAGCTTATGTGGCTTCTCCGAGCTGCAAGGCTTCACGTTCTCCTGCCAGCTCCTTGACAATGTGGCTCCAACAGCATCCTCCACTCTTGGCTGCCTCTGGGACCCCTGGTCTCTTCTGGAAAGGGAGAAGGAAAGCATATCCTTTTCTGGAAGGACTTTGTGTGACTGCGAAGCCAATAGCGCGGCTGTGAAAAGCTTGGAAGGCTCTGTGCGAGCGTCGTGGCTCTGTCTGTCGGGACCGGCTTCCCTGCGTACGTGGATGTTGGGTTCCACCCCGGGATGAGAAGCTGGGCTTGGCATAGCTCGGCGTCGCATACGGGGTGTGCTCGACAGGATCACCACCAAAAATCTGCCCGAAAGGGAAACTGAGGCGAGCAGGAAACACAGTCCTGCATGACACAGGCTCACAGCACCACCGCTTTTCTCCCTGCAAACTTTCCCATTTCCAATAGGCGCTCCCTTCCAGCCAAGTCTGAATCATCTCTTGTAATCCCCCTTCAGCTCTTTCAGCTGAGCACTTGGAGGGAACTGAAATGCTGCAAATACACCAACACACTGAATTTACCTGCCAGAAACAGGTGGCTACTTCAGCCCAAGCAAACCGGTGGGCAGTTATCACTCTTTTTTTTTATCAGCTGAAGGAAATTTCTCTCTCCCAGTCAGCGATCCCAGCCACTCTGGTTGCTGGAACCCCCGTGAAAACTCCTGGTTCGCAGATGTGAAACAAATTAGGAAGCTTATGCTGTTGCATTCCTCTTTATTATTGGGAACAAAACAAATCTGGGAGATGCAGAACTTCTTAAAGTAATTATTGTCTGGCTTCCCCTTTTTTTTTTTTTTTAAAAAAAAAAAGCAACTGATTCTGAGAACTGCACGGTTTCTGACGAGTTTTCAGCCTAGGAAAGTCACATTAATTATAAGATTAATTTGTTTTAATTCCCTAAACCAAAAATATTGACTGAATAAGAAATTAACACATGTAGAGCTGCAGATGTCATTTGGCTTCAGATTTCCTGATTGATATAATTATTAATCTTTCATATAGCGGTGTGACAAACCTACAGATTCATTCTAGAAAATTAGTCTGTGAGGAAAGACACCAGGGCAGCTGAGCTGTAGATTTTCCCTTAATACAGGAAGGAAAACAGTGGAATTTTCTAAATAATAAATAAACCCAAAATATTTTAAAGACATATGGTGCACATCTGTCTGAAATACAATAATTTAAAGCAGAATAATTAAATGCAAGATATAATATTCACCTTTGTGTGGGGGAAGTCTCTCATTTCATCTTTAATAAAATGTACCAAATTTTAGAAATTTAGATCATTTGTGGTGACTGTTGTGACTATTCATTCTGTCCTAGTAAAGACCGTAGACAAGCAAATTGTTTTTTCCTTTTTTAAATAACCAAATTTGTGTTTCAAGGCATTGACTGTCATACCTATACAAGCCTTTACTATTATCTTCAGCTGAAATTATAAATAAATACAGGTTTCTTGTTCACTATTTTAACTTCCAGTTACCTCCCTGAAAGTCTAAAGGTAGAAAAAGCCTCATGTTAGTTCTTTCCTTCTTGATCTAAAGCACTAAACAGATTAGAAGCTTTCCATTAGTACATGGATTCATAAAATTCCAGTTTTGGAAATCCTAAGTTTCTAGCAAAAGTTTTTGATTAGCATATTGCTCCTGAAAAAAGCAACAATAAGCTATAATGGAGACGGTATATGTATCTTTTGACAGATAAAAAATAAAAATATATATTTTCTTTCCTACCTTATCCTTTCTTTCGTGTGATTTTGCCTTCAGCTGGATGTGATATTCAGTCCTTCTCACTTAAAAAAATTCATAATTTAAGGAGTAAAGTAAAAAGTTGGCACTTTGAGGAGTAAAAGACATTTGAGGACAGGGAGGGATGTAAGAATCTGATGAAACTGAGTTTTGATCCTGAGTGCTGGCTTGAGGAAAATATTCAACCATGCTGCATAAATAAAGAGGGAATTTATGCTGAAGAGCTTTAGTCCCTCAAAGTGGAACTGAAGATAAATAGTGTTCTGGTAAACAGAAAACAATTCCACAAGTAAACATAAGTGATGCTGAGATAAGTTCTGTTTATTTCAAGGGAACATGACAAAGATCCTGAAACTTTCTTTAAAGTGCTGCTGAAACTGAAAGAGAAAGAACTACCTTTTCATGTGTCCGTCCTCGGAGAGTGTTTCACTGACGTTCCAGGTACCTTTTTTTTTTCTTTTTTAATATAAAGTTACCATAAAATAGATATTTCCAGAAGGAATTTTCAAGTGTGTATTTTCCTACACTAGTGAAAAGAACGTGTTTAAAATCTTTGTAGTTGTGAAAGTAAATATTGATATATTACAAAATCAAAATGATTAGAGACAGCAAGCATTTTTCTTTTTACTCGGCAGGGCAAGACCGTGTTTATGAGTTGTGTTTCGGTAACACGTCTGTATTTATGTAAGTCTACAAATAGGTGTAAATGATTGGATGGTTCAGATAGGAAATAAAATCTTTCAGGTCTTGGTCACTCATCTGAAATCCAGACCAAGATTTTAGCAGGTGAAAACACTTAGTTCCCTTTCAAACATAAGGTTAAGAAGTTGTGTGGAGAGCTTCTGGTTTGTATCTGGCATGAAAGTGGTCGTTAATCTTTAGTATTTTTCTACCACTCTTTTGCACAGTCCTTCCTTTTCTTGCTTTCTGACAACCACCACGCAGTATAAAGTTTTACTCAATTGAAAAAGAAATAGAGCTTATCCTGGATAGACACAGCTTTGTGTCTGAGAGGTTGTGGCAATAAAGAGACCGACCAAATCCTCTAGTGGGTGTGCACGTAGTAAATTAAACCTTTTGAAAATGGATATCAGCCACAGGTGAGCTCCAGAATACCTGGTGCTTTAGCTCATCCATGTTTTGCAAATTGTAGACAAGTATCCATCTACCACCTCAGTCTCTAAAATTGGACTTGGAATCAGTTGAAAATCTTTTTTTTTTTTTTTTTTTTTTTTTTGTCAGTCGTGTAGTATCTGTGGCCTGCTGGTCTGTGATTTTTCAATTGGTTTAGTTTTGATTTTCCAGCTTTTAGACACCAGGAAATTGATCTGATCCAAATAACTTTCAAGTCCCCAACTGCGGTACAGCTGGATTGGAAAAAAAAGGTCATCATTGGGTAGTAGGAAATTCTTCCTGCTTTCCGTCCACTTCTTTTTAGGCAGTTTTCTGAAAGCCTGTTCTTCAAGGCGGGTCTTATTGCAGATCCCAAGGCAACGTTGCTTTCCAGACTGAGTGCACCAGATTTCTTAGAAGGAGAAAT